AAAAGATAAGGAAAGAATTAATATAGGGCTCCGTTATATAAATATATAATACTTATAGCTCCGATAAGAGCGATAAAAGGACTCTTTCGAGGTACTTTATTTATTTATAGGGTAGATACCGGCGGATAAATTAATTAAAGCTCTTTCTCGTTAATTATTCGAGTATTTTAAATCGTTACTTAACTTCTAAAATATAAGAGGAGAGATAACGATATTAAAGCTCTTAAATAATACGAAAGTAACGTAGGATTTTAGTTTAATTATAAAAAGAATTAACTTAGAATAGTATACTTTACTCGAAGAGCGACGTAGGGATATTAATCTAAAAAGAATCTACGCGTAATAAGACTTCTTTCCTTAACGAAAAGAGCTAACTTATGTAATAAAGCTAGTATAATATTCTTAAAGCTTCCGAAAACCTAACGACCTTTAGAGCTACCGGCTCTAGTACTTATTCTAGGGTTATATTTATTTTTTAAATTACTTAACCTAACCGGAGCTAAGGTATTATTAGTTTTATTATTATTAAACCGTATATAATTATTCGAAGCTTAATCTAGTAATATCCGGATTAGTAGTAACAGAAATAAAGCTTTAAACGGAAGTAGTTCTTCGTTTAATATTAACTTATATACTTTAACGGAAACGAGCGGACCGGCGAGGAGTACGGGTAGCGCGCTATCGGTTAATCTTATTACGGACGCGACTACCGCGAATACGAGAGCTACGAAGGAAACGGGTCGGAATTAAGACTTATTTACGTTTAGTAGGAGAGCTATCGTTTTAGGCGAGAGTATCTATAGTCGCTTATCCGCGTAACGACTTAATAATAAGCGGTAATATAAGCTAACGTTATTACTCGGGATAATACTAATAAAATAATTCCTTTATTTCTTCGCGGAAAGCGGTAGTTTAGAGTAATATAGTTAGAAAAGTAATCTACGATAAGGGAAGCTCGGAACTTACTACCTTAAAGTTAAGGTCGGTTATTTAGGCGGCGATAAGCCGCTAAGTAAGACGTATAACGCGAGGGTAATTATAACTAATTAGCTTTTAACGAAACCTTATATAGCTTTAAGGGATATTTATAGAGCTACGTAAGAATAGCTACGCGAATAACGTAAGTAACGATTAATAGAAGTTAAAGATTAAAAATACTTTTCTATCGAGCGATATTATATAGCGTTATTAATATACCGATAATAAGGAATATCGTTACGTAGGCCGTATTCTTCGGTAATAGCGAAAAATAGCAAGGCTATATTATTATTAACTCGGGTAGCTCGACCGATTCCTTTAGACGTAGGCGATGGTTCGGCGGCTCCTTAAGAACTAGATCGTATTAGAAGCTTTCGAGGAGCGCGAGTAATAAGAATAAAGCTTAGCTCGGTTAATTAACGGGTAGTAATAGGAGTAACGATAAGAGCCGTTTCGAATTTAAAAGAGCTACCTTTATTAAAAGCTTACTCTTTAAGCGCGAATATAAAAAAAGGAACCGAGCTAGGAATAAAAATAAAAACGGCGGTAGCGTTAGCGCGATAGCGCTTCCCTAGACTCGGTATAATATCGTTAACGATAAACGAGCGATTACTAGGCTATCCGTAGCTTGGAAGAAAAAGGAGGCCGCCGGCTTTCGTTAAGCGAATAAGCGTCGGCGCGACGGCGGTAATAATAATAAGGGAATTATCCTTTCCGTTCCGAGCTTCCGTAAGAATACTTAGTATATATAGCGACGGCTTAATAAGTACTCGGTATTCGCCGATAGTTTCCTTAGAAGTTATTAATACGGCGGCGGCCTAGGCTTTCGAAATAAAAACGACTACTAGCTTTTATTCGGTTATAATAATAAGCGCTTAACGAAATCCCGGGGTAGCTTAAATAACTACCTTTAAGTCGCTTCCGAAGTCGCCTTTTATAAAGCTATCCGTAGTTTTTACGTTCCAAAGTATAAACTCGGAAGTATTATTATTATTATTTAGCTCTATAGTTCCGTATTTATAAATAACGCGACGGATTCTTTCTCGCTTTAGATTTTTACGTACTTATTCCCGTTTAATATAACGGGTTCGTTATTTACGGGCCTTACTTCTAGAGCTACTCTTCTTACGAGCCCGCTTACGAGATACGGCCTTAGGCTCTAGTATAACGGGAAGGGCTTTAGGAAGCGAAGGGATACGGCGAATTATACGACGTTCGAGGGAGCGTAATTCTATAATATTCTATACTATAATTAAACCTCGGTCGGAAATCTAAAATAAATAATTAATTAAAGGCTTATAACTTATAATAATTATAATATAAGAGTTAATTTATATATCGGTAAATAAATTACTTTCCTTTATCGCGGTATATAAAGAAATTATTAATACCGGTATTAAAAGAAGAACTACTTATAATAACTACCGAGATATATATATTAATCGCGATATCGCGGGTAAAGCTATTTAAGCGATCGATAGTAACGTCGAGGAATATATTACGTCGTTCTTCGGCGGCGCTAGAAGTAGTAACTAAAGTAATTTAAGCGGCCGCGGAAGTACCTAGGATAACGGCAGCTTCCTTTATTACGGTAGATTAAGTAACTAGCTTTACGTATTCGGCCGGACTTTAGTCGGATATAACGGGATCTTAAGCTCGCTTTTCGACGAATATCTAGGCGTAATTACGGAATTAATTTATTTCATCGCTTAATATTTTAATCGCGCTATCGATATTAATAAGAATCTCGTAAGAGTTAGAACGGTCGGATATTTTATCGAATTATTAGCTTTTAATTACTTATATCCGTATTAATATTACTAAAGCGTAAGCTTATTTTATTCCTCGCGCTTATTATATTAATATATAGCTTACGTTAATATATTACTATAAGTTCGTTACGATAGCGAGCGATAATAAGGGAGTACCGTAATTAAAAAATAACTTACTTAAATAAAGTACGCGTAAATAAAGTAATATATAGGTTATATACGTAACCGAAAGCGATAAAGAATTAAAAAGGAGTATATCGGGTTAGCTTTAAATATACCTCTATAGAAGAAAAGAGGAGAGGGAAAGAGCTACTACGAAAGAATAGGAGATTTTTCTCTTATAATATAAGAGCTTAAGTATAGGAAGGAGCGTTACCGGGTATTAACCTAGTAAAGCTACGAGAGGGTTCGCGTACGATAATAATAATATAAAGCGAAGTAATAAGAGCTCTCGCGAGCGTATAACGAATACGGTAGATATACTTAATTAAGAGCTACGATATATCTCTTTTATTAGGATATTAGGAAGAGCTAATATAATAGCTAATTAGGAGGATACTTTAAGCTATTAAGAGTATTAAATGAAGGCGTAAGTAATTAAAGCGACGAATATATTACCCCGGAAAGTTAGTAAGGCGAGTAAGGCTCGAGCTAACCTAAGACTTTAATTAAGAGGATAGCTAAGCTAACTATCGCGAGCCTTTCGGCTAAATTATTATTATTATTTAGCTAAGCTCGCTATCGCGAGCCTAGCTAAGGGATATATTATATAAAGAGCTACTAATATATAGCTCCTTACTCCTTTTCGAGTTACTCGCTTACCTAATATAGCTCCTAGCTCGCTTATATAATATAGCTCGTAGCTCCTTATCTTCTATATATAGGTAGCTCGTATCTCCTTTATTAATCTCCTTCCTTTTTAAATAGTTAGTTAATTTACCTTCTTCTTCCTACCTTCCGTTACTCTTAAGAAGCAACCTTAGTACCTACGTAGCTCTCCTAATCTACGTGTCACTATCCTATATAATGTTAAGCTAAAATCTATATTTAAATTAATATAATATCAAAAGATAATAAATACTTATCTTATTATAATAACTATCTTATATTACTTATATTAAAATATAATAAAATCTATATTATAAGTTTTACTATAAGTATCTTATACTTATAGAAAGCGTTTGTTATTATTACCTTATTTAAGGATTACTTATATACCGTATTAGTATTACAGACATACTGTCGATAGACCCCCCCCCCCCCTTCCCGCTACGGTAGGTAGCCACCTACGTAATAGCAACCTAAGGAGGCGGGCGGGCGGAACCACGTGTACCAGGGCAAAGGTACATACTGTCAGGTACTGATAACGCCCGCAGGTCTGGACTGGACGCCCATTTGGATGCGGTACCACTGCATCCCATCCCTCTTCATCCCGTCCACACGCGGGATTCTATGCCCGGTGGATGCAGGGAAACCTGGGCTCGAGGGCTAAACAGATGACCAGATTCTCTGCTTCTACATGCGTACGGGGGCGTCTTACTTCTCTCTCCTCTCTCCCTCTCTCTCTCTCTCGCCCACTCGCTCGCTCGCTCGCGCGCTCGCCTTGGTCTTCCCCGAATCAGGTAGGCCACATAAACGTACATGTCACTGCATCCACAAGGGGCATGACCATCAATCGGATCCCTCCAGCTGGTCGGGTTAGGACGGTCCCAGAGCAGAGGCGCATCCATAGATACGACGCCGCCCGCGTTATCTTGCCTGGGCCGCTTGCCATCATTCACCAGACAGGCAGACCTGGTCCTGGCTTGTCATCCGTCCGTGTGCGCAACTCCCGTCCCGCCTCCAACTCGTTAGGCGTCGGCATTGCTCTATAACAAGTTCGCTCGTCCTCGGCTCCCCTTCCATCCCTCCCCTCCCCCTTTGTTCCCTTCGTCTTCCCTCGCCCATCAAAGCGTGTACACCTATACTACCAGAGCCCGGGGTCGGGTCACCAGCACCTTACAGCAGAAAGAAAGGGGCTACGGCGTTGATATCTCACACTCCCCCTTTTCCCTCGCTTTTTTTTTCGTTGGTAAAGTGGCCGCCTGTTGTAGCCGTCACTTCTCATCTCCCATCTTTACCGCGACCCAACGGACGGCCCACATAGATTGCGTTACCTGCGTGTTGGGAAATCGAGGGATGCCTCACCATTCTCACCAGACGCAGCTACTTATAGAGCTGATGCGACCGCGACAAGACTGCCCGTGGCCGTCCCAGAAGTTGTGAGCTGTAAAGATCCCGCACAGGTAGCATCGTCGGTTATCCCGTATCTGGCCTCCCACGCGTCCGGAATCCTGTGGTGCGCTTGTGGTGCATCCCACGTTTGATGAGACGTTCGGCTCTTACGTATAAGAAACAACGGACCCCTGGCGAGGACCGTATACGGCCACCAGCCCATCAGCACACTTGGCATACGATACCAGGCGCCTTATCTGGGTTCCGGTTCGGTTACCACGGAAGAAAAAATACGCGACATCCACGTTTCTTACGGTGTACGGACCCGCTGGCTGGGATCAATTTGAAGCAATAGGGCGACGCCTGATTCCTCTTACCAACCGGAACCGTTTATGGGCGTAGCTAGGAATCATGATGGTTCCGAGGTCCTTTTTCTACTCGCGCGAGTCGCGGGTATTCCCAACTTCTCCCCTAAACGCGACGCCTAAGATACCTCCACCTCACAGAAACGATGAACTACCGTCGAAAAATACTGTCGCTCCTCCCACAACCTCTACGAACGCTGAGATATCACCGAGAGACCGAGCAACGGCCAAACGCAAAGCGCTGCAGTCAGACAGGTTGTCACCGCCAAGCGGTAGCCCGCCAAGCACGACTATGACGAACGCTGTCGCGCGACCTACTGCTCCTTCGAGCGCCGTGCAAATTCCCATCAAGTCCAAGTACGATCCCGCACATACCCAAAGATTACGGCTTCATGCGCAGACACACCGAAAATATTCTCCCCCCAACCGAAAGCCTCGAAATGTCCACTCACCGGATACCATCCCTCCCTCGGTGGCCGCGTTGCTCGCCGTCACCAGTATCCCGCCGCCTAATCGACGCGGGTCCCCCCCGCGAAGACAGCTAAGGGATTCGTCTAGAGGGTCGCGGATGACCGTGGATGATATCGTACAGCAATCACAGGTTTCCGAGAAGGAGTTGAGTCGAGAGCTGAGTGAGGAATTCGGTCAAGACTTGGGTGACCTAACTCCTCCGTCCTACGGCCGTAGCCCTATGGATGTGTTGCTGAGCCCTCCCGACACGCCCGACGAGGATGAGGCATCGGTAAACAGCGACAGCGCGTTTACGTCTGCCTTTTCAACCCGTGCAGCATCCCTCGAGAGCATCCCATCCCTTAGCGACTCGTTGGGGACCTGCGAATCTCCCTTAAGTCCACGAGGAAGGAGGTCACGGGTCCTGAAACGTTCCCTAGAACCGCTCTGCTCGCCGCCCGGGGAGCGTCTAGAACACCCACTCTCGTCCCGAAATTCCAGCAGTCTAGAGTTTGACCAGCTTGACTTTCGGGTCTTCGATACCAAATCAGTCCCGGCGGCGCAGAAGCAGACCGGGTTCCTGCCTCTCAGATCCGTCTTCAAGTCAAACCTGACAGCATCGCTCCGCGCCCTCCGTTCCGCAGCTCGGTCTCTGTCTACTTTTACCGCGTCTTCGATCCCTCCCCAAGACCTGCTTACTAGGTCCATCCTTACCATCGATCCCCGTGTTCCGTTCACCGATGAGAGAATGCCCCCTATTCTGGGAGACGAGCCCAGCGAGGCAATGCGCCGCTACCTTAATCCGACTACTAGCTCACGACCCGGTTCGCGCGTCGTCTCGCCAGTCCGCAGCTACACGGCTTCTATACAGATGCAGACATACAAGATACACAAGTCGAGAAGCGCGTCGCCGGCAAGCCGCTCGGGAGGGCACTCTAACAAATCCTCGAGCGCGTATGTCTTCCCACCAGGTCCTCGGCAGCGAGAAATGCGCGAGAATTCAGACTTCATCCGCATCGCTGTGTTGGAACATCTGATGCGAAAACGCGGCAAATTGGATGATCAGCGGGAAGGTCACGCGCGCTGGCTTCTGCCACCGAGGAAAGCCACGCCAAAACCGTATGAGATTGGCGCGGACGGCATACCTACTAGATGGATTGCCATTTCTCAGGATGTCGTCTAGGCTGATTCCGATATTACCCCCTGAGCCACGGCTCTTGAACCTCGCGAGGCAAATCGGAGTGTGGTGCAGGGGGCGGGGGGGGGGAGACTGCGAAGCCACTACAGGCTATGCCTCGTATACCAAACGACCGAAGCTCGCGACCGGTCGCCAATTGATTTTGGCCCACATGCTACGTCAACGGCGACCCTAGACAATAATACATCCCGACGAATCGCAGGCTGTTTAATACTTCCTATCCTGCCGACATCGCCAGTCGGAATGGATCCACAAAAGCGCTCCGGTGGGAGAACGACGGCAATACTACGGTCCCAAGGCGGCGGGGTATCTCCCTAGACCCCGAATCTCGCCGGAGACGCACCAGGCGTGGGGATTCCCCTCGCAAAACTGGGTTGCTCGGAACTCATATAACCACAATATAAGTGAGCTTTTTTTCAAGGCAGAACAGGCTAGCATGTACGGGGTTCTCTCGGCCGTCTTGGGTACATACGCGTAGTTACCACATGCTGGCTGCTGGTCTGGTTCGTTGCCCTAATGGCCGCCCAAACATCTTTGCCGACTCCCCCTAACCTTCCCTTCTACGGCTTATTACCTCGCCGACGAAGGCGCCAAATACCTTACTCTTCGCTCGGCCATATCCCCTCTTTTCTTTCCCCCCTCTTCTTTTTCAACAGTTTTCCCACTTTGCCAAGCGAGGATAGATTCAAGGCGTTGCCCTCTTTTGGATAGCTCGGGCAGGTAATGTTTCGGCTAAGCTCGATCACCATTGCATTGTTAGGCGCTGGGCGTGGGAAACCATATATTACACGTATAGGAGCAGCCCGCAGCTGCGTACAGGGCGACTTGATGGGGACGATAAAGAGATCCCGGCCGTGGCAGAATCACGGCTAGCAGGAAACCTGACAGCTCATCCTGCAGGTTCTGCGTCGATGCCCGACTTGGTAGAAGGTTAGGGCAGGGTTTGGGGCACCGATCAATTTTGACTAGTTGGCCCGAGGAGAAAGGGAAATCTCTTGATAACACGGACTGCCGTTAGCGAGCGAGCAATTTATTTCTCATTACACAATTACGAGTGTTTCTGTCCAGTATGCCAAATACGTACGTGTAAACGCTGGGTTTCCGAAACGGTCCAGGCAAGGGCGTGCGCTTCGCGTCCCGTAGCTAGCGTCGGTTACGAATCCCACTTCCGAAGGACGGCAAAGAAAACACGGCTGTGGTGCAAGAATGGTCCGTAATGTCCACCACGCTGTCGCAGTCTTTCGGCATGGCTCCAAGGCGTCCGCTTACCGGAATGCGACTCGCATATGTTTGGATGAACCGAACAAGACACCCTGCACCAGCATAGAATGAAGGGGGGTCCCCATCGACCCGCACGAGGTATACAGGCACCCCACGCCGACAGAGAGGGCCATTCTGGATAGAGGCATCGAAGCAGTACATATAAGAGAAAACCAAAACTCCAAAATTCCACAGACCCCTCTCAGAAAGTATTGGAACCTCTGTCGACCTCGTGGCCCATATCAGCACGTACACGCATACCGAGCGGGCGTACCATTCGTACCCGTACCCGGACAGCCTCACACCTAAGCAATATAATCTCGGTAGACCTTCGCCCCGCGGCGGACCCGCCTGCCGGCCTTGCGGACGCCGCGCCAGACGGCCTCGGTGGTCGAGATGTCGCGCTTGGTCCCGGCGGAGCGGATGTGGTCGGCGACCCAGGCGGCCCACTGCCAGGGGGCGGCGCCGCCGCCGGGGAGGGAGTTGAAGTACTCCCAGCCGGCGACGCCGCCGAAGGCGGGGTTCTCGGCGGCGAGCTCGGCGAGGACGGGGGCGTGGCGGCTGAGCGAGACGTAGCCGTTGCCGTTGGCGGGGCTGGTGAGCACGCCCATGACGACCTTGGCGGCGGGGAAGCCGTCGTCGAGGATGGCCTCGTAGTCGGCGGCGCGCGACGCGTCGCCCCAGCCGAAGTAGAATTGGGCGTTGTAGAAGGCGATCCGGCCGCCGCGCGACGCCTCGAGCTCGCCGTAGTCGAAGCCGCTGAGGTTGCCGCCGCCGGCCGTCAGCGCCGACGCGACCGGCGCCAGCGACACCACGAACCCGTCGCCGAAGTCGGCCTTGAGCCGGTCGATCAGCCGCACCACGCCGCCGAGCGACATGGCCTCCTCGACGTCGAGGTCCAGGCCCTGCAGGTTGTACGTGCCGACGAAGTCGCGCAGCGGGCCGTAGTACCGCTCGAACTGGGCGTCGTCGCCATCGAGCCGGCGGAAGGAGCCGCGGGCGGCCCCGCCGAGCATGCCCATGACGGTGACGCCGGCGGCCTGCAGCTGGGCGACGTCGGCCCAGACGCCGTCGAAGAAGGGGTTCTCGGGCGGGTAGTCGTTGAGCCGGATGCCGCCGTCCTCGTCGACGATGTGGATCGCGCCGACTAGCACGTGCGTGACCGAGATGGAGGGCGCCGCCTCGAGGAGCGGCAGCAGCGAGATGTGGCTCGTCGCGCTGTTGTTGCGGTTCGTCGTCTGGTAGTAGACGACGACCCGGTGGTCGTTGACGGCGGGCGCGCTGGGGACGGCCACGGGCGGCGGGGGGGCCGGCACGGTGGCGTTGGCGTTGGCGTCAGTGCCGTTGCCGTTGCCGTTGCTGTTGCCGCCGCTCGCGCTGCAGGTCACCGGCTTAAGGAACAGGAAGAGCCTGGCCAGCCACCCGGCTGTCTGACAGAGCAACATCTTGGGCGAGCTGGCGCGAGCGTTACCGTGGTTCTAGGTTTTCCGTCGCGTACGGTGTCGGGCGGCGAAGGGATGCCAGGAGAACGCTCTTTTTCGGTGTCTCTTGGTTTCTCAGTCTCGGTCCTTCTGCGAAAGTTGTCATACGGGGCAGTGGCCGAGGATGCTCCCGAATGCGTGCGGCAGATCTCTGCACCTGGCCGCGACGCTCGTAGGTTGATATATAGGTACCTACGTGAGCGTACGAGTCCGTTCTCTATGTACCTAAGTTAACAATCCAGGACGAGGCGGAGCCGGTTGGCTTTTAAGTAGGCTCGTCTAGTTTCCATCCTCGGACCAGCCAACTCGCTTTCGACGGCGGACTCTTATGGGCGTAAGGGCTGTGTTATGGTGAAGTGTTTCGTCAGCAAGGGGTTGGTTCAAGTATATAGGTGGACAGGGGAGGATGGCGGATTGTCCATAACCCTGTACCCCTCTGCATCCAACCCAGCCTGCCTCGCACAGGAAGCTGGCCGGGGTCTGTCAGTCTGGTGGGTTTGTTTTATTTAGGTACTACTCTTATATTCCGTCGCATGATCGGCTCCCCTTCCTTCGCGCTTCCGGCACTCCGTCGTGTATTAGAGGGAGGGGAAGATGACATGGTGGACCAATAATGTGAGCTGCCTCGCGCTCAGCTCAGCCCAATAGGTCGTGTTTCTTCCTCCTCTCGTCGCTCACAATTTAGCCCCAAAGTGGCCGAGTTCACGAGCAGAGTGTCGTTTTGTTTTACCTTAGTTTTCGGTGGTCCTAACCTGGCGCCTAACCGTCTGCTCCCCTCTTTCATATGCCTTTCCGTATTTGGCAGGTATTCATGGGGTGGTTGATCGACTTATCACATATGACAACAGCGTAGGCAGTGGAACTCGCATACATGTGCAGGCAGAGGATGGTGGTGGGGGTAGGATTGGGGAGGAAAGGCCCGCACGCAAGTAGCATTTTACACAATAGGAGGAGAGCCTGGAGTCGGGCCATTCTAATTTGGCATCGTAGTGTTCATTCACTGTTGCCTGCGTATCTGAGAACGAACAAGATATGATGGGATCCCCAATAACTGGTGCCTGCTTGCGGCGACCTCAGCGGTGTGAGGGGTTTGACCTGATTAGCCCGTCCCCGGAGCGGATATGCGCCAGACGCGGTATTGGCATGCTACTCCCAGGTCGCATCGCTTATTCCAAATGCCGTTGACGCCGACGCGGGTCCGTCCGGGTCAGATGTATGGTACTCCACAGAGCAGGACACACAGGATCTCTTGGACAGCCCCAAAACGATCACCCGCCTACGGCACGGCACGTACGTGCGTATGTATATCTCCAGCACGGCGGAGGCGAGGTGACGTAGAATGGCATGCCTGGATTGTCTGGACGGGCGGGGATCGTAACATGCCTGGCATGTTTGGTGTCCTCTGTATGTACACCAGGCGCATCTCGTTTCGTCCCGAGCGGCTGCAGACACGTCTCGGCAATCACGTTGCTATTCTCTCTCTCTCGATAAGACGGCCGACGAGCATCGGTCGCATCGAACGATGCCATCGCGGGTTGGTCGCCGAGACGAGAAGAAGGCGAGGCGCAAAAGAGGCGAGGAGGCGGGAGGAAGACTCTATTCTTGGGTCCAACTCCGCCGGTTGTGGGCATGTACATACCTACCTACCTACATGTTACATAAATGCAGGTACACGTGTTGGCGGGGAGGACGGCTGTAAAAGAGCCCTGCCAGTTGGTACTATATTTAAAATCTTCCAGTTCGTCTTGGCTAGGTAGGTAGGTAGGCGTTTGTTCGTATCCACAGGAAGGGAGCCACAGGTATAATAACAATGGATGTGCCTACACATACTCGTTCATACCCCATACATATGTACACCAGCGAGACTGAGAAGCTGGGTGGGGATATATGGCGGGTATATGGCCGATACTCGCCGTCAAAGAGAAACCTAGGTACGCGATAGGAAGAAAAAGAAGACATATTCGTCGTGCAAACTTCGAACCCGAACTCGAGACAAAGCGTGCCGTGACACGAAGCCTTCGATGAACACTGGCCCAGCGAATTCCCGCCCCCGACGAGACGGCATATAGCAGCGATAGGTCCCGGACAAGATGATAGCTTCGCGCTTCTCCCTGGCTTGGGCCATTGTCAGGAGCACGCATCAACCACCTAGGCAACGAACTAACCTAGTACCTCCTGGACTTAGTCCCTACATGGTGAGCACCTACCTATCTGTGCCTCGTAAGTGGCATATCGATAAGGTGAGATCTACACACAGTGCCCGGCCTACTGTACGGTGGGCAAAGTTACAATTAGCTGCCTTCCGGCGGTTTTCTGCCTGCGTGCCCGTTCTCGATGCGTCATCTTGACCATCCCATCGATCGCAACTCGGAGGCGTTCTCAATAACCCAGCCGCCTACGGCCTACCACATCTAATATCCATCTACCGTTGGCGGTTTGCGTTTCCGTCTCTTACGCTTCCTCTCGCAGTCCATCTTCATATCCATCCATCCATTTCTTTCCGTCTTCCCGTCTCGCCTGCCAGTCGTATAGTAAGGCTTCCCGTTTTACACCCCACTCCCTTCGCTAATCATACCCTCCCTCCATTCGCCCATCCTATTCGATCGACCTTTTCATCTCGAATGATTGCCGTGCTACGCCATCAGTAGTCATGGCATCTCCGCCCGACACCGAAGATGGCCCTCGGGCCAGCTCCGACGACGCCACTCATTCGTCCTCATCCATCATCGAACGAATTACTGCCGTGGCTCAAGATCAAGAGCCCGGCTCCGATCCGGATACCCCCCCAGATGACATCGATGAAGCTTCCGCCGTCAAGAACCTCACAGCCAACGTCCGGAGCCAGGACGACCTCGAGCGAGATATCACATACCGGGCGAATCTCGCCTTGATCGACGCGGAGGACAAGAAGGACGAGAAGCGCATAGAGAGATCCGAGGTCAATATCAAGAAGCTCAAGGCCCAGAAGAAGACGCTGGAGGAGCAGTTTCGCAAAGCTATCGGTCGGCCGCAGGTAAAGCAGAGCATACGAGAGAAGATCGACGGCATCGAATCCGAAATTGCAATTCACCACAAGGATGTAGCCGATTTCCGGGCTCGCATCGAGCAGAGACACCAAGAGGGTGAGCATGTCGAGCCGGATCACGGCGGAAACAAGAGACTTCCCAACGAGACCTATCGCGATTTCCTGATCCGCACCGGGAAGATAACCCCATTCGCCAAATTTGGAGGTCCCCGGCCGCAAGGCGTCGAAGGAGAGCTAGCCGATGCCTTGATACACGCCGAAGACGAAGCAACCACGGAGCAGCTAGAGGAAGACGCCGGCTTTGAGCCCCGGTCTCACCAGAACTTACGCACACCCGGTTTCGACGAGGTGCCGGATCTGATCGCAAACGCAGCCGAAAGCGAATTCTCGCTACGCCCCCGAAAGAAGCGAAAGGTGCGACGCGATGCGGCGTCGTCAGACGAGTTCTCCCCCGAAGCATCTGGCGCGTCCGAGGCCGACTTCGTCGAGGATCAGGAATCGGAAGATGAACAGCGAACCAAGCCGGCCCGGAAAAAGGCGAAGAAGGAGTCGGCTGAAAATAACAAGGTGGATATGAGCAAGATCGACGACGGAAACGAGAAGAGTTATCAGAGTCGGCTCGCCGACTGGGCTGAGCGGCGAAGCAGGGCTAGACGTCGAAGGCGTCAGGGAAACCGCGAAAAAGGCCTCGAAGAGAAGAAAGTTGACAGCGACGATGAAAGCGAAGAATGGCTCAAGCCCTCGCCCGATCATGCAGACCACTGCCTCGAAGACGGCCTCACCATCCCGGGCGACATCTACCCCGCCCTTTTCGACTACCAGAAGACGGGAGTGCAATGGTTAGCCCAGCTTTACAGTCAGAAAGTGGGGGGCATTGTCGGCGACGAGATGGGTCTTGGCAAGACCATCCAGGTCATATCGTTCATTGCTGCCCTGCATCACAGCCAGCGACTTGACAAGCCCGTCATCGTCGTCGCCCCAGCTACAGTCTTGAGACAGTGGGTGAACGAGTTTCATCGTTGGTGGCCCCCTCTACGTGTCTCGATTCTCCACTCGTCCGGTAGCGGCATGCTCAACATGAGAGATGAGGGTAGAATCGAGGATGAGGAGTTGTTGTGGGATGAGGCTAGTGAGGGAAAGAAGGTCGGCAAAGCCGCCAAGAAGGTCGTCAATCGGGTATTGAAGCACGGCCACGTCCTTGTCACCACATACGCCGGCCTACAGACATACGGAGAACTCTTGATTCCTGTCGAATGGGGCTATGCCGTGTTGGACGAAGGACATAAGATTCGAAACCCGAATAGTGCCATCACCATATACTGCAAAGAGCTGCGGACGCCACACCGCGTCATCCTCTCTGGCACGCCGATGCAGAACAACCTGATGGAGTTGTGGTCTCTGTTTGACTTCATCTTCCCGATGCGGCTGGGCACGCTCGTGGACTTCCGCAACCAGTTTGAGATCCCTGTACGGCTCGGCGGGTACGCCAACGCGAGCAACCTCCAAATAATGACGGCGCAGAAATGCGCCGAGATCTTGAAGGACACAATCAGTCCCTTCCTCCTGCAACGATTGAAGGTCGATGTGGCAGCCGACTTACCAAAGAAGAGCGAGCAGGTTCTGTTCTGCAAGCTGACACGGCCTCAGCACGATGCGTACGCACTCTTTCTCGACTCGCCAGAGATGAATGCCGTCCTTGAGAAGAGGCGTAATTCTCTCTACGGGATCGATATTCTGCGGAAGATCTGTAATCACCCTGACTTGGTCGACCCTCGTTTGAAGACCAACCCCGAATACAAGTGGGGGATGGCGAGCAAATCGGGCAAGATGCAGGTGGTGAAATCTCTTCTCCAGATGTGGAAACGTCTCGGTCATAAGGCGCTCCTCTTCAGCCAGGGTGTGCAGATGCTAGATATACTCGAGGATTTCGTCAAGCAACTGAGCGATATCAATTACCTTCGCATGGATGGTACCACTGCCATCAAAGATCGGCAGAGCCTCGTCGATCGATTCAATAAGGACCCCGAGGTCGACCTCTTCCTCTTGACCACGAAGGTCGGCGGGCTGGGCGTGAACCTGACCGGCGCTAGTCGGGTCATCATCTTCGATCCGGATTGGAATCCTTCCACCGACGTCCAGGCTCGCGAACGAGCCTGGCGCCTGGGCCAGAAGAAGGAGGTTACTATATACCGCCTTATGACGGCGGGTACGATCGAGGAGAAGATCTACCATCGCCAGATCTTCAAACAATTCCTCAGCAACAAGGTGCTGAAGGACCCCAAACAACGCACTACGTTTCACTTACAGGACATGCACGACCTATTCACCTTGGGATCTTCCGACGAGAAAACTGAGACCGGGAAGTTGTTTGAGGATGCCGAAGTTAAGTTCGCCGAAACTTCGAAAGGGGCGAGCACCAAGAACGAACCAAGTCCTAACAACGACCAAGACCTTTCTGCAATAGAAGGGGTGGCCGGCCTTGAGGACTATAAGCCCGGACCGGAGGCAGAGCCCGAATTGAATTCGGACGAGGACCGAATCATGAAGGGTCTCTTTGCTCGCTCGGGCGTGCATTCGGCACTCGAGCACGACAAGATCATCAACGGGAAAAGACAGCCCAGAGCCGACCCCCGAATGCTTCAACAGGAGGCAGATCGTGTCGCGGCACAGGCCGCCGAATCCCTCCGACGTGCCGGCGAGCAAACGCGGTCCATGCCAATCGGCACCGTCACTTGGACCGGCGACGTAGGAGAAGCTGGCAGGCCTACCGGCATTCGCCGAGGGCGGGGGGAGGGACCAAGTTCGCCTAGTGTCCTTGCCGGACTAGCGGGCAGGCAAGGTCGAAGCAGTCCCGGGAACGCTGACGGCTCCGGCTCAGGTCCGCCCCCGCCACGGGAAAGAAACCTGAAGACGAAGGATTTCGAGAAGATGATTCCGGCATTTATCAAGAGGCACGGGGGCAGAGTGCCGACGCAGTCGCTCGTGGATCATTTCAATCCGTACTGCGCGACAAGCAAACAATCGAACGATTTCAAAGCGGCCTTGAACAACGTTGCCACCATGGAGCGGGGAGGCTCCCGAATGAGGGCCATCTGGACATTGAAGGCATCTTGATCTGTGGTATTGCTAGGAGGTGGTGGGGGAAAAGGGGGGGTGGGGGGGGGTGGTGTGGTTAAATCTTAGCGTCGTATCGAGGATGACTTGTGCATGGAAATCGGTGACCGTAGTGTTTTTTTGCGGCGTGCCGGGGACTGGGAACTAATATCAAGGCTCGCATAGCATTTGTGTTCAGCATTGGGGGGCAGGCATTCTACAGATAGATATCCCAGAACTAGCGAAGAAAATATATTGATTAATAAATGAAATTTACTCTGCAAAGTGCGCCTCGCGCCAAGTATTCCAAGGGTGTTGCGGGTGTAGGGGGTTTCAACGAATGAAAGGCGCAACACACACACACACACACACGTATATATATATATATATATATATATATACGATCCTATTCATCGTCTTCAACACGTCCAGATGAGAACAGGGCAGAGGCCGAGGGGGCCAGTCCATACGTGAAGTCGAGGGAAGGGCGGGGTAGCCCATATATGTCCGTAGAGGAGAGGCCGTTGATGGTAGGCGGTGAAGAAGCACAGAACCCATTCAAAGTACCTAGGTACGTAGTAGAGAAACCCTAAAGCGACCCCACTTTCTCGCTTGACTAGAGCTATTCTTTATTTAGGCTAGTCTCATGGAAATGTCCCCACATCCGAATTCCCAGCATTTTCCTCTTTCTCTTTTGTGCGCTGCCACTCTCCAGCTTTTTTTTTGGTCTTTTCAACAACCACCAACACCACCACCAGTCGACAAATCCACGACCACGGCCATCTACACTCGACACAATGGCTGCCTCCACGTATGCTACTCCCCCCTGAAACCTTCTATCTTGGTGGTGTTCTTCCTCCCATGAAAGAATCGCCTCCGACGCTCGGTCCCAATGGATTTTTGCAGATTGTCGTGGTCCTCTCAGCTGGTTCATGTTGCTCTTCTCCGTTGACGTCCGGAAACGGGGTCAAAAGTCGAGAGAACGTTGCGAGCCAGCTCAATATATCCCAGACTTCTCCTTCTTCACTCTGGGCTTGAAAGACAGCCCGTGGGCCGAGAGATGTTGTTTGGGGCGTTGGAGATAGAGGCCCTGCCCTCTCCTCTTAAATGTATCTGCCGCTCTACCTGACAGTCGGTGGCGTAAAAATACCCGCCGACGTCGTGGTAATACAGAGCGAGCATACCTTCTCGGACGGATGTCCGAGGCGTTGTCGGATGAGGGGAAATGGCTGTGGAAGCATTGGCTACTGGCTACTCGTTGAGGGGTGTCCGCCAATCTTCGCAACCATCTCACCGATTAAATTCTTCCCTCCGAGTTAGCCACCGCTGAGAATGTCGCATCGCAGTCGGCAATTCTCCAACCGGCGCTCTACATATTCACACATTCTTTAGTGTGTGAAGGCGGACTATGCACTAATCTTGACATTGATCACAGTTCCGTTCCGACCAAGGACCAGGTTCTCGTCCCCGAGACCCTCTTGAAGAAGCGCAAGAGCCAAGAGAAGGCTCGCGCCGAGAAGGCCGCCGAGACTGCCCAACGCAAGAAGGTCAGTCGATATTTCCCCTTGGGAGACGAAGGCGGCGACGTGATGCATAAACACCCTTTGCGACTAGACCAAGGTCAATGCTGTTGCAAAATTAACCATCTTTCGGGTCTGATCGACGAGGAGATGACGGCTTTTTTTTTTGGCACACACACCTGCATTAAATCGAGACTGACTCCGCCATCTAGGCCAACAAGGAGAAGCGCGCCGTCATCTTCAAGCGCGCCGAGAAGTACGTCAAGGAGTACCGCGATGCCGAGCGTGAGACGATCCGCCTCAAGCGCCTCGCCAAGAGGGACGGCAGCTTCTACGTTCCCGCCGAGGAGAAGCTGATCTTCGTCATCCGCATCAAGGGGTATGTCCACAATCTGCGCAGTGGGACCAAACATGCACTAATACGTGGATAGTATCAACAAGATTGCCCCTAAGCCCCGCAAGATCCTTCAGCTGCTGCGTCTCCTACAGATCAACAACGGTGTCTTCGTCCGCATCACCAAGGCCACTGCTGAGATGATCAAGATCGTCGAGCCGTGGGTTGCCTACGGATACCCGAACCTGAAGAGCGTCAAGGAGCTCATCTACAAGCGCGGTTACGGCAAGATCAACAAGCAGCGCATCCCCCTGACCGACAACCAGATCATCGAGCAGAGCCTCGGCCAGTATGGCATTGTCTGCATAGAGGATCTGGTCCACGAGATCTACACCGTCGGCCCTAACTTCAAGCAGGCCTCTAACTTCCTGTGGCCCTTTAAGCTTAGCAACCCTAACGGCGGATTCCGACCGAGGAAGTTCAAGCACTACATTGAGGGCGGCGACTTGGGCAACCGGGAAGAGAAGATCAACGGTCTCATCCGACAGATGAACTAGGGTAGCTTGCCTGAGTAAGCGAGTTCACGGGTCAATGGGTGTTTGGTGGTATGACGGGGCTTGCTTCTGCATGGTTCACGGCGTTGACAAAAAACTACGGGTGCTACCGATGAATTGATACCTTTGACGACGACGGCAACCCCATCGCGTACATCCGCGGGTCCGACGTGCCCCACAGTGTAGAGTGTCGTAGAAGTTTTATACGCTGTCCGTGAGGCTTACCAGACGACGCATCTTTTACATCCTCCCTATCACTCTCGATCATGGAGCGAGTGTTGGAGATAGGGTATTGTCGTAGAGGAGAAAACGTGTGTTAGAAATCGACTCGCCGAAAAGACCTTCGACCAGGTGTTTTAGAAGGGAGAAAGCCAGTATGATGACTCGAACCTCCTACCTCTCTAGAGGCGCAAAAAATTGCAAAAGCAACGGATGTAGACTAACTACGCGATACCGCGGAAACTAACCCTCCTAGGGTACCTAGTAGAAATATCGCGTTTTTACGCGTCTGGCAACCAGCACTATGAGTAGCACCATGCTGCTTAAGTTTGTAGTAGGCCTTACCCGTCACCTGCTGATTTCTTCTCGTATTTTATCATATGACCCCTCTGTTACCCCGGGTGTGCTCTAGTACTATGCGGTTGCGGGGCTATAGAATAGATAACTATGAGAAGAAATGGTACCCCGAATGGCTACTCTCGCCGTCGGTACCATGTAGAAGACTGAAAAGGAGTCTGGTATTTATCTATCACAGACTCTGCGTATGCTTATGCTTCTTACGTTTAATACTACGTAGGGGTTCCAGAAGTGGAGGTAGAGTATGGCTCATCGATCGATCTAGCTTGGGCGCAGACGGGCCCGGAGTCGGGACGGATTTGCATTCATTCTGCCTGCCTTGGCTGCTTGCTGGGATACCTAGACGGAGCGAGACGGGAGGGTGTGGGCAGAGGTTATCTAGTACCTAGGTAGAGCGTAGTACACATTTACAGGCACGGGTCTTCGTGCTGCGCGGAGGGCTTCCTTTCTTCCTGCCCTACTCTGTTCTGAGCCGATCGGAGAATAGGAGAGGGGTCGGCCCCCCCCCCCTCTCACAGCTTGATGTCGAAGCTGGTGCCGCAGCCGCAGCTGCTCGTGGCGAGCGGGTTGTCGACGATCTTGAACTGGCTGCCGATCAGCTCCATGGTGAAGTCGACCTTGCTGCCCTTGAGCAGCTCGAGGCTCGGCGCGTCGAGCACGACCTTGGGGGCGCCCTCCACCACCACCACCGCCGCCGGCTCGTTGACGAAGGCGAAGACCGTGTCGTCCTCGCCGATAGCCGGGGCGGCGGGGGCGGCGGCAGCATTCGTCGTCGTCGAGGACACGACTTGCGCGGCGGCGGCGGAGGAGGAGGGCGGGTGCGAGGGCGACGTCTCGGGCGGGCGGCGGGGCGGCTCGGAGGCCGGCGGCGGGGCGGAGAGCAGCGACGGCGGCAGCGACGTCAGCGACATCAGGTACTGGAACCCGTGGCAGCCGCCGGACTCGACCGAGATGCGCAGCGCGAGGTGCGGGTTCTTGTCCTTGGCCATGATCTGCGAGAGGCGCTGCTCAGGGGGGGAGCGAAGAAGAGGTGAGCTAGGAGAAACGGCGAGCAGAAGGAACAGGAGAGGGAAGGGGGCCGGGGGGAGAGGGGGGGAGGGGGGGGGCAGCACTAACGTCGGCGGCGCGCGGCGTGATCTCCAGCAGCATGTCGTTCCCGTTGTCGTCCTTCTGCGGGTTGTACACGACCGCGGTGCGGCGCCAGGGCGCCGTGGAGCTGAAGAGCCGGCGCGGCGGCGGCAGTGATGGCGGCACGACGGCCGACGGCTGCTTGGTCGCGCGGCGCGAGGCGCCGGCCATATGCAAGGCGCGGACCGGCCGCTTCGCCGGCGGAATCAGCACGTCGAGGATGGAGACGCCCGCCGCGAGCGGCGCCGCCGGAGCGGGAGTGCGCATCGACAGGCGCACGAAGACGGTCGCGAGGGAAGAGGCGGGGGAGGCGGCGGCCGAGGAGCAGGCTCGTAGGCGTGGGCGAGGGGGCATTTTCGGCTTTGGTTTTGGTGTTTTCTCTATTCTTTTTTTTTTCCTCTTTTCCTTGCTCGACGCCGGTCCGGAGACGGGTGTTGACTTAGGTTGGTCGTGCGCCAGCGAACCTCGGACGCGGGAGCACAGTAGGTGCGGCGGAATAAGTCGATTCAATTGATAAGCAAAAATGACCGATTGTTAGGATGATGTCAAGGGTGGATGATATCGGCGCAACCTCGGAGGGAAAACTCCCCGGTCCAAGGTACATAGGTACTCATGGGCAGGCATTCTCGTATTAGTGATGGCCAATGACACCGATGGGATTTTGAATTGTAGGTACCCAAGGTACTCGAATTCCCTCGTAATTGCCTATGCACTTATCCGGCCTAAGATGGTTGTAAGGGAAGGCGCGTTGAAGGAGAGGGGCCGGAGCCTTCCACTGTAGATGGGCACCTCTTTCTCGCTGACAAAACACGCCTCTGTAGGTAGATGAAGAGGAGATCGATGGCTGGGTAGTAGCCATCTCAAACTTCCCCGCCATCATCTCCCAAGTCATCTCCACGTCTTGGTGGCCTCTCTGGTGTGAAAGGTCGTGACTGTGACCTGCTCTACCTTCTCCCCCCTTTTCCCTCTCTTGGGAATCCCGGGGCGGCATTAATCCTCATAGTAGGCCACATCAGATTCTTCCCACAACTGCCACCGGTGGCTCTGCCGCATCGAGTACTACGGGGACTATCCGTCAAATACCTACTACGAAGGGACATGCAAAGATGAGAGGCACAAGCTCACCACAACTAAACCGATCCGAATTCACCCAGCCTTGAGGCTTGCCCCCCTCCCCTTCGTCATAGGTATGCTCGCCATCGTATTCCCTAGGATGAGACCAGTGCCTATCCTTTCTCATTCTAGATGCCTGTCTGAGACCTTGGGCGATAATGTCGCATATGCTACCATGGGAGCATCGGGCTATCTGTCTCGTAGCTAACACAAATCAAATAGTAAATAGCTACCGGAACCCCGGGACAAAAGACAGAGGTCGTTAAAATAGCTCTTCACGCAACAAAGCCCAGGCTAGGTAGGGTTAAGCATAAAGCATACCGATCCTCCCTCGCGGACGGCAGACGAGGAATTCAATGTTACCCCGCGGGCTCATCTCGTCAATATTTACTCCGGAAACAAACCCTTCCGAGGACTAGAAACATTCCTTCTGCGAGGATAGCACCGCTACGCCAACGAGTGCTAAATGTGCCGGTGCTTCGCGATGTCGACCTTCGAATTGGGAATGCGCGCTGTTTAACCGCCTCCCGTGCGATACGACACGCGTATTTTACCGGCGATATGGATGCTCCAAGCAGCACACGGCTCTAAGCGTCACGACAGGGTTCGCACCCTTCAAATATATTGCCTCATCAACACTGATATACTCGATCAAGGCCGTCGATTGATATTTCGAGGAAAAATCTTCCTCGCTAGCGAGGGGTGCTACCGCGTCTAGAGCGGATGCTTATCTGGAATGGAGGGGAGTCAAAGGACAGTGGGCATACAAAAAGAGCCTCCTTCCCCCCCTACCCAGCAATTTTGCTCTATCGTCAGAGCCAAGGTGCAGACGATCTGAAGGCACCTCGTAATAGCCTAGCTTCTATAGCGGACATCCGCCCATCATTTCCGCTCGGTAGCTAGCCAGCCCGAGAGTAGTAACCAGGCCGCCTGCCTCTTTATCTCGGAACCAGAGCCAAGGCCAACAGGCTCGCTTATCCAGCACCATCGACGATGCTGTCGCAGCTCCTCCCCCTCGCCGCTCTCGCGGCCACCGCCTCGGCGCACGGGCTGATCTCGTCGCCTACGCCGCGCCGTCCCGGCGACGCCTCGGTGGCGGCGTGCGGGCGCTCGGTCGTCAACGACATCACGCGGGACCAGACGTCGCACGTGGAAGGCCTGCCGGAGCTCGCGGCCGCCGACGCGGGCTACCGCGCGGACGCGTGCAACCTGTGGCTGTGCCGCGGCCTGCAGTTCGGCGACAACGCGGCCAACGTGCAGACGTACGCGCCCGGCCAGTCGGTCAACGTCCGCGTCACCCTCACCATCCCCCACGTCGGCGCCGCCAACGTCTCCATCGTCGACACCCGGTCCGACACCCTCGTCGGCCCCGCCCCCCTCCTCGTCTGGCCCTCGGGCTACGCCGACGAGCGCCAGTTCTACGCCCGCCAGACCCCCGCCAACCAGACCAACTTCAACGTCACCATCCCCCAGGACCTCGGCGGCAAGTGCGCCGTGCCCGGCGAATGCGTAAGCCTGATCCCCTTTCTCCCTTACCCCCCTCCCCGTCTCTCTCTTTTCACACACACACACACACACACACACACACATATATATATATATATCGTGCAAGACGCCGGTCCCGCATAAATCCGACCACGAGTACTAACCCGTATGTGCCTGTGTAGGTGATCCAGTGGTGGTGGTACGGGACCGGCGCGAGGCAGACGTACGAGTCCTGCATAGACTTTATCGTGGCGTAGGGCGGTAGCCCGCTCCCGTGTCGATGGCGGGCGGAGGGGAGGGGAGGGGGGATATTTCTGTTGTATGTATTTTGTCGAAGGGATGCCGGCCGGGCTGGGACTGGGAATACTAGGCGTCGATAGATAATCTAGCGCATCGTACCTATGACTTTTGTGCCTGGCGTAGGTCAGGGTTATCCTCTTGTCTGCTTGTTGACGGGAAAGGGGGGGCAGGTTGAACAAGTCTGGTATTTTCATCGGCTACTAGAGGAAATTTCGTACTGCTAGGTAGGTAAGGTAAGAGGAACGAAACAAGATTATATAAGCACGAATACTCCTAAACATCGTAGATCATCCCTTGAGTGCCACCGGCCCCACGCGTTTTCCTCATAACTTACCATACGACGTTAAGCGAAACAAAATTCCCGATATTACGTCGAGTGAGCCGGCTCCAGGCCCTACCGCCGCCACCCCCAATCGCCTCCTCGCCCGCCCGGTATCTCTGAAATTTACAACGGTTCTTCGCCGCCACATCCTGTCCTCCCGTCCCCCCCGTCCCCCTTCACGTTGTCTAGCGCTCGCCTTCAAGCTTAGTACGGCGGGTTAGGTCCCCCAATCGAAGAAGGGGGAGGAGGGTAGTCCTCGGGCCTTCCGCCAGGTGCGGAGCCCGCCCGGCCTTCGCCGAAGTGCTTCTTGCGCAGGGCGGCAAGTCGCTTCTTCTTGGTCATGGTGTTGATGTAGGTACCAATGCTAAAAGCGACGACGTTGAAGAAGGGCACCCAAGCGGCCTCGGGAAGAAAAGCCTGGGCGAAAGCGAGGCAGAGCGGGGAGGAAATCCAAGAAACCTTCATGACCTTCATGAAGCCCACACGCACGGTTGCGCGCACCTGGTGATAAGTTCGGGCGCCCGCAATAAGAGCCATAGCGACAAGGTAGACGACATTTTGGATGGGGGCGACCTATGAAACGTGTATTAGCTCCACATCAGCTCGGATCGAGGAATGGGCAATGACGCACAATCAGGTTGCTAATGAGGATCTGGAGAATCTTGGCGCGGAGACTCGTGCGGCCCTTGAAAGCCTTCTGAAGACACCAGATCAGGAAATGGCCTAGGGGCGCGCTGACCAGGGCGCCATAGGTGGCCATTTTTGGAACTCGAGAGGTGAAATAGTTTCCGTGCTTATTGCGATCCTTGGCAAGCCACGAGGCAAGCAGTTCTTGCAACCCAGCGAGAGTTCCCGCCGTGAGCATCTTCGTTCGCAGCGGGTTCTTCTCCAGCTCGCTGATGTAGGCCTGTAAAACAATACGAAACTAACGTTAATCCACCGCAGTTCGGCGACTCTTGCAGCTAACGGAGGGAAAAGCAAAAAAAAAAAAAAAAAGGACGCACCATCAGGTACCCTTTGGTCCCGGCATTCCGCCTGCCCCCAGTCACGGCGGTCCCGATGGCCTCTGCGACGGGATGCTTCCCACTCGTACCGGGAATGCGAGTTTCGTGAGCGACATCGTGGACCAGGTCGCGAGCTACGGTCCTGAGCCCGAGGTGGCCGGTGCCGCCGCCGCTGCCACCGACGGCCTCGGTGGCGTGGCGAATCGTGTCCCGCTCGATCTTGACCGACATGATCCTCGAGCGACAAAACGGAGACGACGCAGAGCTAGCTAATCCAGGCGAGAAATCTAGGCGCGTAGAGAGTCAGTGAGATGAGGGTCTCCGCACGAAGCGATTGCACGCATTGAAGGGCGGCGCGAGACGTGGTGCGGCTCAATTGATTTGTTTACCTCGGACTCGCTCAGCCAAGGGGGGGGGGGGCGCGACGGGAAGAAGGCGTCAGATGCAGTTTTGGGGAGCGGGAGGGGATTTGAGGCGATCAACAGAGAGGGAGATTTCGGAGCGACGAAGGGAAATGTGGTCGCTTACAGACTCGATGAAGAGGCAAGTCGGCCGGTGCCAGGAAATGCGGGTCTTCTTGGGGGGGAGGGGGATGCTCATGCGTGTGCGTGTGCGTCGATGAAGATGGACAGAGAAGAGGAGATGTGGAGGAGGTTGGTCAAGGACGAGCTGGGTTGAGGGTGAGGTTGGACGACAAGTCGGGCATTCTGGGGGGGGCAGGAGCACGTCGCAGGCTCCTTCCCGCGCTCTGATTTGCTGGCCGTCGCGACTGCCACGAGTGGGTCTTGTTATTTCCAGTATTTCTTTATTTTTATAGGGGCAGGAGGGGCCAAGGGAAGGTCCGAGAGGAGGCGCGGCCAAGGCAGACCGGGGGGAAGGAAGTGGTTGCTGCACGACAGCTGAGGCCCATAAAATGATCTGTATACATGCTCTGCTCCGTATATGTACATATCTTGCCTTGCTTCTGGGTCGACCAGGCCACGGCAGCCTGCCCCCGTCATTGGCTCGATTCCGCCGGTCCTTTGTTGTTCCGGGCCGCCGTTGCTCTCTATTGGGATAAGGTGGCCGGGCAGGCTCGGAGAAGCAAGGGCCACTGCGAGCCACCAGAGAGCCAACCACGGGCCACCGAGCGAGCCCTAGCGGACCCAGGTCTTGTAATTACATCTGTATACATCTCATACTAGGTACAGCGAGGTATCCACCTCGTTCCCATCGGCGCTGGCGCCAGTACGGGCATGGATACGGGGAACCTTGAGATTGGAACCCGGAGATCGTCGCGACAGCCCTCTCGCCACTAGCGCCAGTGCATCCGGCGCAACGCACAGCTGGGACGACTGACGGCATCGATGACCAAACGCACCGATAGATGTATATGCGTACGTACCTATGCATCTCCCCGAGAGATGACACCCATCCGCGCCCCATTAGAGCCGAGCAGCCCGGATGGGTAAGGGGAGGGGGGGGCGAGAAATCGCGTCGAGGCGGGTAGCGTCGTGGTTGGGAATAGCTTCAAACGGCTAGGAGCAGGTCTCCACTGCGAATGGCACATCTTCAGCTGGCTAGGTACATGCTAGCCAAGTACCTCCTATAGGCTATCTTGGTGCTAAGAGGAAGGTGTGTAAGATGCGCGTAGGAGGTACCTCACGCCTCTCCTTCCCAAAGTACCTACCTACCTACCGCACCTAGGTTGGTACCTGCCTGCCCAAGGCACACCCCACACCGAGGCAAAGGTCAGATCAGTGTTTCATCACGTGATTCTATTGGCGCAGGTACCCTGGGGTTGTGGCTGGGGTAAGCCGAGGTACCTCTATCATGTCAAGTGGCAGCACAGGTATGCATCTAGCGAGTATGATAGAATCACGTACCTGGGCAGGTATCCACGGTACCCAAGATACCCGAAATAGAGGCTGAGATCTCCAAGCCTTCAGCGTAGCTACTGCCGGGTACCTGTTAGGTACCTAGTCAGGGCAGGAAGAGGTACCTACCTGGAAGAATCGAGGCCAACGAAAGGGGGACAAATAGACGGCTCGGCGTCGTCATTGTAGGTATGCCTCTTCATTCTTCCATTATCAAGTTCAGATTGAGAGCCGCAGCCATTATCATTACCTACCATTCTTTGCGTTTTGGTGCCGGCCCCCGCCGCTCCACCGTTATCCCATATCGCCAATCGTTTTATTTTCGCCAGTATTGATTCACCAGTATCCCGCCCCGGTAGTTGTCCTGCCGTTGTCAGGCCTCGTTCCCACTTCCCCAAGGTTTGGCGCCCTAGCAACCACCCGGCGGCAAATCACCAAAGAGTGCTCTCTGCGGGCGGAGAGAACCAGGCCGCTGTTTTACCATTAATCAATATCGCTAACCCCAAGATGAGGCCGTATTCCGCCGATCAACCCGGGGCCCCCCCACGACGACGTTCTTCTGCTGTCATGTCCCGAGACTCGTCACGCTTCCTGCCGCTCTCGCTGCTGTATTCGGCCTCTCCGCCTCCCTCCTTCAAGCCGTCCTGCACTCACCTGACGATGACGCGTCTGTACGAGCCGAACACGGTGTGCTCTATCTGCCACCAACCGGGTCAGTAGGGATGGCTCTACCGGTGTACGCAGGATCGAGAATACCTCATCGAGGATGCCATAGAAAAGGGCCTTCCGGTAATCGGTTTCCCCTGCCCTTGTTTGGTCTGATATACGTCAACTAACTCGTTCCGCCTTCTAGGTGGTCTTCGACTCCATCGGCGACTCGTTTGCGGATGACCTGATAGTGCGACCTCGGAGCGCGGAGAGCCGTTCGGAAAAATACAGCTTTCTGAGAGAGATTACCAGCGAGCAGTTGGCGACTTACACGCCAAGTCAGATTTCCACTATCCTAAGTCAGAGGGACAATGTACGCTTTCTCCCCACCCAAGTTCGCATTTCCCGTATGTTAATACACCGCATAGCTCCATAAGGTCCTCGAAGCAGAACGTCAACCGGCGGCGCCATACGGACCGCTGGGCAACTCAGCCCTACTTCCGCCGGGCTTTGGATTTACCGAATACACAAAGCCCTGGGTTGTTGGCGAAGCCGAAGAGTGTAAATTCAAGTGCTGCCAAGTCTGTCGTCGCTCTGCTAGCCTACGATCGTACTTGAGCCTAGATAGTATCGTCAAGGGAGACGTGCCCCCCACAGCCGCCGTCGGGTTTGGATTCCATTATGAAGGAACCAGGCCGGTTATACACCCAGACAGGCTGAAGAACATCGGTTTAAGGGCTGTCCCCTGGGTAAAGACCCCGCACAATTGTTCTTTTTTCATGATGCTAACTCCTGAGTCTAGCCAGGGGCCTTTACCCCTCCGATATCCTCGCGAAATAGCTCTAATGGATCGGAAGAGAAGCCGCAAATCGAATCGACGGAGCCTCTGGAATCCGGAGATAACCTGCCCTGTGAATCCGTCGACTTAACAGAGCCTGGACAGAGAGGTCTCGCTGGTGGTACACAGCCTACATTGCCTCCTACACTACCTCTAACTGGCACTTCGTCATCGGTACCAGGTCAGTCTATCTTGACGGCGGCTCGCTCTACCCCTCTCCCCGTTTCTACCCCGGAAGAGGAGGTGAGTCTTTCCAACCTCATCACCCAAATGATGAGGGAGGAAATGGAGGAAGGCCGATTTCACGGAGACCCGCTGGAGGTCGACCACGGTGTAGCTGTCCTAGAGGAGAGCGTTAATTTGGCTGTGCCTGATCTCATTACCCAGGCATAAAAGAAAAGAGCAACGAGACTATAGCGGCATAGCACATGTCTAGGCTCCCCAAGGTGCTGGTCAAGACTGCACTGTAGATACGCTGGATTCAGCGCGGTATTTTGTACGCACGTAACCGGAATAGAGGGGCTACATGCTTGGATGGCTAGACTGTTGGCGGATAAGCTTGAGGCTTTTTTTCCAATGTGACAATCCACATTTACCTGGATACTGCCTCCGTGCCCTGGCCCGAGAAGGAGATGTAGCAGTGTGTCCGAAGGCGTCAACCAGCTAACATCGTATCGATTTATTTTAGGGGTGAGTATGTACAGACAAGAGTTGGTTGTCCAGTCTTGGCTCGGTCGGTATTGTATTGTATTGACGGTGTACGGTTGAAGAGAATGGGGGCTAACAAATACGTCAGGTTTTGGGGGTATACAGTTATCGGATTATTCGGTAACCGGACTATTCAACTACACTTGATAAATGCATCGACACATTCCTGCATACATTATATATAATGCGCATCACCTTGGGGTTGCGCAACTATTATGGGACGAAACCTCGGGTTCTAACAATTGCATCGCTTCTCCTGCCCGAGCATTCTTGGGGGGGTGAACCTGCGTTGTCATGTACTTCATCAGGCGGATCGGGGCTAATATCATGACCTGTCGCCCTAGGCACCCTCTCAGAGCGGCATCGTCTGCGGAGAATGCGCCGGCGGAATGGTTGCGCCGGCTACTCGAGGGCCGTACCAAGCCGCCGAAACTGTATGCCTGGACGCCGGAAAATCTACCAGTCCGCATACGCAGCGCGGAGCAGTCGTTGCCGACAGAGAGTCAGTCGCAGAGGCCCGGCGGCGACGACGAGCGGCGTCGCATATATGTGCTGGGCATCGGAAATCTAGGCCGCCTGTACGCGAGCTTCCTCGCGAAGAGCGCCGAAAGGGCGCCCATAACTCTCGTCGTGCACCGGCGGGAGCTGCTGGAGAGCTGGGCGGACCATCCCGGCATCGAGCTGGTGCGCGACGGGAAGGCCGAGCGGAACGCCGAGTTCGATATCGAGTGGTGGACGGAAGCGGCGCCGCCACGGGGGCCAGTCAGGGAGCCCGGCCGTAGTCGTGGCAGCATTTGCAACCTCATCGTCGCGACTAAAGCCGCCGACACGCTGCCCCAGGTCGATAGGCTGCGGCGGTACCTCGGCGCCGGCTCGACGGTCGCGTTCACCCAAAACGGCGTGTGCAAGCTCTGGCCGCCTCTGGGCGCGACCTACGTAGCGGCCCGATGGCCCTCCGGCACAGGGCCCAGCTGGCTGGCATGCGTGACAACACACGGCGTCACGTCACTCGGGCCCTTCCGTAGCGTCCATGCGTCGCCCGCGGGGGTGCTCGTCGGGGTCGTAACGCCCGTCAGCAGTGATAGAGGGCACGGCAGCAACAGTACTGGTACTGGTTCTAAGGTTAGCGCCTATAGCGGAGGGGAGTACCTGATCGAGCAGCTGGTCAACGCGCCGGGACTCGCTGCGCAGCGCCTCCCGACGCGGGAGCTGTGGGTGTCGCAGCTCGAGAAGCTGGTCGTCAACTCGGTCATCAACCCGCTGACGGCGGTGCTGCGGTGCCGGAACGGCGAGATCTTCGCCGACCGCGGCGACCGGCTGCCGGCGGTGATCGACGAGCTGCTCGCGGAGGCGAGCCGCGTGCTGCGCGCGCTGGCCGAGCATTCGAGCACCGACGCGGTGCTCGCGGCGGAGGCGGGCGAAGGCGGCGGCGGGAGCGACCAGGACCTGCGGGAGTTCCGCGGCGCGCTCGCGCAGCGCTTCGCCCCCGCGCGCCTGCGCGCCATGCTCGACGGCGTCGCCGCTAAGGTCGGCGCTAACACCAGCTCGATGCTGCAGGACGTGCGGGCCGGCCGGACCACCGAGGTTGCGGACCTCAACGGCTGGCTCGTCGACGCAGCGAGGTACGTCGGCGCCGAGGCAGGAGGGGGCGGGCTACCGGCGCACGAGAAGCTAGTGGCGCTGGTCAGCGACGGGGCGAAGATGACGAGGGAGGAGCTGGTTCAGCATGTTCTCGGTAGGTGAGGTAGATGAGGAGGGGGCTAGCTGGCGCCTAGCTGGAAAGGGGGTGGTGACATCTAGGTACAGTGAAGAGAGAGAAAGTCTAGGGGGTACGGCGGCGCGCGCATTGCCGCTGTTATAGATGCCGGGCAGATGGATACATAATATCTCACTTGGGAATGGTGGCCTTAGGGCAAATAACAAACCAATTTGATCTGCCACTGAACCTAGTCTTGTGTCGAGCAACTTACCGTTTGTTGACTAGGAAATCGAGTGTACCCGCCCTGAAAACATAGAGCATCGAAACTGATATACAGCAATAGGTCATAGGCATATACAAGAATTTCCCAAATCTTCCTTTGTTAATATATAACGTATAATGGCTTTACATATATTGAGTGTCTTGTCATCATCATGGCCATTTCTACCTTTAGATTACCTACCCCTATTCCCCTACAGCCCCTTACCAAGCCAACGGCTCCTTGTACGAATGTGAAACTCGGCGGAAATATGTACCGCGTACTCTCTCACACTCACGCACGCATAACTCTAAGTCTGTATTCGTCCCGCAATCCCGTAAATTCTATCCCGCCGGCCTTTGGTCGTTGGACTGCCCGCTCACCGGGCGGAGACGGTGGCAGGGGGGGTCGTTTTTGGGGTCGAAGGGATTGCGACGAGAGGGCCGTGTTGCATTCGGAGAACCCGCTGCTGCACCAAGGCGACTCGCGTCACCCAGCGCAAGGTGGGTTACCCGCATGTGACATGATCCCATCGCCTGTGGAAGCTCCCGATACAAAGCTGAAGGAACGCTCCGCGGTAGGCGCTCGGGACCGTATCCGACTATCACCCTGCATGGCTCGCAAGGGATACCGCTTACGGGGGTGACGAGAGATGCCTTGCCCCCCCCTTCCTCCTCCTCCTCCTCCACCGGAGAGGAAGCGGCAGGACTTCGCACTCTGGCGGCTTGGCTGTCTTTGGGCGCCGCTCGCTGCCCGCGAGTTGCATCCTCACCGAGGCGAGGTGGGGGGGCCTCGGCGAAGCGCGAGGGCCTGCGGTGGCAGCCTCGCTAAGCTAGCGAGGGAGCCGGCACACCATGCGGCAAGTCCCGCGCGAAAGGACGCGATGCCGCGGGCCAGAATGCTCCCCCCCCCCCCCCCCCCCCCCCCCCGCTCCCTTCCCCCCCTCCTCCCGCGACAGCATCGACACCTGGCCGTCCGAGTCGGCCGCTTCGTCGCGGCGGGGTCGATCTTCCCTCTCGCTCCCACCTCCTGCGACATATGTGGCTTGAGCGAAAGGACGGCACGTTGGCCAGATGCGATGCGGGGTATCTCTCTCGCGGGTCGGGGGCGAGGGCGAAGGAAGAGACGAGGTTGGTAGCGAGATGCATGGCCATGGCTTGGCCGTAAGCCGAGCTGAAGTAGCCATATCCCGAAGAGCCATTATTAATCAGCGATGATTACGCAGCGGTTTGAAGACGGAATGAGAGTGGCCGCTCCGTGTTAATTTTGGAACCCGGTTTGTTGCTTCCACTGGCAGCAGGTATCCACACGAGTCGGTCTTCCACCGGCTCTCTAGCTTCTCTCGAGTAGTATACAGGGCCAGGCACTCAGTAGTCAATTATCGATGTCTATACTATTTGTTTCTAAAGAGTTCATGTACTCGTCACCCCAGGCTGCCTCGTCCTATAGTCATCACCTGTTCTCTAACATCGGGTTAGCATAGTCCAACCGATCTATAACCAATTCGTATGGGGCGCAACTGCAACTATTAAGACAATTTGTGTTCAACTTTCTACTATAGCGATACAGACAAGTTTATATAATATCTGATAGAATTGTTAGATAGATTTTATATTCCGTAACATGACTAGTCTGATCTACTAGGATTGCTGGACATGTAAGGTCTTGCTAAGTGTTAACACAATTAATAACTACTACACCTCAGCCTATAGGCACTAAAGTCTGAACGCAAATTGTATACCTTTCGCCACAACTACTCCATAATACATGCTGGTTATTACATGAAGGCTGTCGTAAAGCCGTCTAGGAGGCGCTTTTGGTTTGTTGAGTTTCCTATGCCCTAAACCCCTAAATACACGGACATAATACCAACTTGTAACCCACGTCTCCTGCTCGGGGGTAATTCCTAGAAGACAACTCAGAATAGATACGATAGCAACTACTGTATAGTCTAGCGTATCATGACATTACTCACAGAGTTCATAAATGTATTTTGTGAGTACTAGGATATGCGGGACGACATTTGCAAGTAATTATGCGTTTCGGTGATTGAATCTATAGCCAGTGATATTAAGGAAGACGATACCATCTTTGGAGATGTCTAAAGACGTGTCTTCTCATATCCCCAAAATGTCCCCGGTGAAGCGATAGTATGGCGTGTAGCCAACCCTCCTACAAGACGGAACATGGTATTGCTACTTGCCAGCATCTCTCTGTTGTTCACTCTACAATCTCACGTATAATGAAAAGACTTAACATTTCTTTCTAGAAGTCGTAAGTCGGGGAGGCTAAGAAGCACTCGGAATGCTACACCTGACCAATCTCTAGCTGTAGCCGAGTCAACGCCGTCATCTCTAGTTAGAACAGATCCTATTTGCGCGGCTACATTTCCCCGTGGGTGGGTAGGTCGACGTTCGCTCGGGCTTCCGCATTGGAGCCAGCCCAGACTCGGCATGTACGCATGAGCCGAGTTCGCACGTGAAAGTTTTCAAGGTATCGCGACTCTCCCGTCTATTATACATACGAGTTTTTCATTTATTATCCATACACAGTGGAGCGCGGGTTCCAGAGATGGCATCGCGCACCCATGTCCCGGGATCGTAGACATGGGCGAAACTGTCTCGAGTCTACTATATTGGGGGATACCCACTTTCAGGGCCTCCTCGATAGGGTTACGCCGGCGTGGGCATGGCGATGCTGGCGGCCACAGCCGAGTAACGGGATCTGGGCAGATTCCAATTCGTCTCTGGCCCGCGCAGCCCTGACCTCATGCGACCGCGGGCCTACAGTGCGGCCGTGTCTGTCTCGGTCTGCTGGCTCTGGCTCATCGTGGCGGTGCGACGGGCCATTCCACGTGCACCTGCATATGTGCCTGTGCATCTCCCCCCATGGATGCACGATGTGCTATTAGTGGTCCTTCTATCGAGTTTCCATCGGGTTATCACTGAGACACGCATGACCAAGTAGCCGCCCAAGACTCGCATATTCAACGTCAAAGGTTGTAGGCGGGTAGCTTCATCTATCGAGCCCTCTCGGTGCCCTCGAGACAACCTCAGAACAACATTCCTCGAAACTATGGCTGAAATCGAAGCTGGGGAGAGGCGTTGACGAGCCGTCGGCCCCCCCCCTTTCCCAGACAACCCAGAGCGACAACTCTCTCAATACCGCCTTCTACCATTCTCGACCGTCCACTACATTCATACTCTCGTGTGGAAATGACGTCCCAGTCACGCACAGGGTGACCGTCTTCCCGCTGTCGCTCAATGGCCACGCTGAGAATGTCAAATTTTGTAAGAGGTTGGGCCGCCTCCGTTACTGCTCGTCACTGATCGATAACTTCTAGCTGGTCATCTTTCTTCGTCCCCTGGAGCGCAGGACGGCCTTCTAGAGGGCACTATAGCTTTCCACTTTCTCACTAGGCTGTCTTATTGGCACGAAAACGCCAGTGTAACGGCAAAGGACACTCTGCATTGCTGTCCCCGAAAGGGTGGACCGGTACGAGCTGGAGTACCTCGCCGCAATTGAACATGGAACGGCGCATTTTCCGGTCGTCTACGGCGGCAAGCTCCTGTTCGAGATCTGCCGCCCACCTCCATCTTCTCAGGCGCATGTCTAGACACAGTGCGGCTTACTTACTAGCACCAACGATGATGGCTCTGTAAATACCGCTCTAGGGGACCGGGTGAGATGTCGTGCCCACCCGGTACGTCCATTGGCTTTCGCCTGTCGCACAATCTCGGCACGTTCTCGCAGGATGTACGAGGGGGGTTATGTCCGTCAATGCCCGCCAGGCCGTGCTGCTGTGGACGTGAGCAGCCAGGTGGAGCTTGTATATTCGAGTTGCGACCTTCTCAAACGGTCTCGGAGGCTCTTGGCCTCGAGCCTATGGATCGTAGATATCTATCATCGGCACCAACTGGCCAGGTGATTGCCGCCCCCGCGGGTGCCGGCAGACGTTGGCAAGCATGTCCACGAAGCGACGCCACGGGGGACTTTGGTCTATCGTGGCGAGGCAAGAGGATGTATCTGCCGACATACGGCCTAAGGGGGAACCGTCGTCACATACTTCACCTGTGTTTACGGCGCTACACGCTATAACGCCGAGGCGTCTTTCGCAACCCAGATCGGCTAAATATACCGAGCGCAAAGCCCGACTCTACGAGCTCATAGGTTGTATCTTGTCGAGAAAGGATCGATAGACGAGCCTCCAACTCGCCAGCCCCTTACCGTGCTTCAAGCTCAAGGCCGGGTTGATACAGAAGGGCCTCGCGGGCTCGACACCTCCGGCGGCATGCCGCACCCCAAGAGGGAATCCTGCTTAGAGTGGTGGCGTGCCGCTGAAACCTTGGTCCTCAAGGCCTGAGAAGGAGTCGACGGCCAGGTGCGAGAGGACGACGCAGCCGGTATGGGTCTCGACAGGTGTACAGATAATTGGGAGAAGGCTACTTGGAGAGGAGGGGAGGGGAGGGGAGGGAACAGAGGGGACAGATAGGACAGAGGGGACAGAGGGGACAGGATGATATCGGGGTTGGGCGCGCTCTGCCCTACTGCCATCGCCGCCACCGGCCCCGTAGCCTCTGCCCGCCTATCCAGGTGGCCTGTCGAGCGTCGCTTCCTCCCTACTCCAGCACGGGGTCAGGTGGCGAGGGACATGAGGTGTCTATGACGCACAGGGGAGAGGGTGGGAGAAGGAGCTGGCCCTGCGTGTAGGTACCTCGCTCGCAGACAGCAGGTATAGAGGTTAGGTGCCTGCAGCGGGCGTGCTAGGTGTTGGGTATGTGTGTC